CGCAGAATTATAAGGGATTATTGTAGAATATTATGAACAACTGTCAACAAACTGAAAATCTAAGAGATAACAAACGGACACATTTCTAAACATATACATCTTATAAAGATTGACTCATGAACAAATGGGAAACCTACAGAGCAATAAAAAGTGATGGGATTGATCAGCAACAATAACAACAAATAGTTGAAGAATGATGAATACCAATTATTCTTAAAAATTGAATGACATAAGACTAGAATTATCCTGATATCAAAGCCAGATGAAAATGTTGTGGGATATTCACCAGAGAAGACTGTTCAGACATGGGTAAAAGTTTTATTAACCAGCTGGCAAATACATTGGGTGTTTGGGATCCCAGGGTAGCACTGAGCCTTTCTCAGGGTGGGCTTTTAAGCATAAGAGCCATATTCTGGGTTCACATACTTCAGAAGTGGAACTACAGAAGCTAAAAAGCAAGGTTAGTATATTTAGAGACTTTCCCAGAACTATGTGGACTTGGAGGGATTAGGTTTTTGTTTTAGTTTTGGCAGGTGGAACTCACCCTGTAGCCCAGGCTGGCCTCGAATTCACAAAGATCCACCTGCCTCTGCCTCCCGAGTGCTGGGATTAAAGGCATACACCACCACCACCCGGCAGGTAACATTTTTTAATAATACTAGAATGAGTCTATTACCCAGAATGTAAACTAGGTGCACGGAGGCCAATACGATGGACAAAACATAGTCTTATCTTTGACAAAAGCAAAAATCGTTGACAAGAGGATGGAGAGGTAGTTTAGTTGGTCAAGAGCTTACTCTACAAGCAAGATGACCTGAATTTGATTCCCCAGACCTCACTTTAAAAAAAAAGCTGAGAAATGGGGCAATAATTTAGTGGGTAAAGTGCTGCCTTGCAAGAATGAGGACCATTTGGAAGCCAGGAATGGCCATTCATCCCTGTAACCCTAAGAATGCGGCAGGTTCAATGCTTGGATTTCCATACTTTGCCAAACAGTTTACCTAACTCATCAGTGAGCTCTGAGTCCAGTGAGAGACACTCTCAAAAATAAATAAATAAATAAATAAATAAATAATGAAAGACACCAGACTGACCCCTGGCCTCCACACCACACACACACACACACACACACACACACACACACACACACACACACACACATTTGTGGCTTAACAAAGCACTTGTATCCTAGTGCAGGGAAGGCAAATACAAGTAGACTCCTGGGGCTCATTGGCTATCTAGTCTAGGGTACTTGGCAAGTTCTAGCACAATGAGAAACCCTGTACTAGAACAAAAACAAACAAACAAACAAACAAATAAATAAATAAATAGTAGATGGCACCTGAGGAACACCAGTCCAGGTTGTTCTCTGGCTTCCACATCTTTGTGTACATACATGCATACACACTCGCACTCAGACATACATGCAAATGCACACATACAAACACACAAATAACAAAATATTAACAAACTGAATCTAGTAACACATTAGAAATATTAATTCAAAGTCAAGAGTAGTAGCATATGCCTATAATTCTAGCAGTCTAGAGGGAAAGGTAGGAGGATCAGAAGTTCAAGGCCAGTCCCAATTATATAGTTAATTCAAAGTCAGATTGAATTACATAAGCATCTGTCTAAAAAAAAATACTATGATTCACCTTAGGGATAGAAATATGGCTCAACATATGAAAATCAACAAATATGATACATCACCAGTCCAAATGAAGAATAAGTACAGAATATATCAATAGATGCAGAAGGGGTATTTGATAAAATTCAATATCCCTTCATAATAAAAACTCTAAAGCAATATATAACATGAAGAAACCTCAACATAATAAAGATCATGGCAAATAAGCAGCTAACATATTTAGTAGGGAGAAAGCCAAAGTCTGCTAAGATTTAAAACAAGATAAGGATGCCCACTTTCACAACTTGTGTGCAACACAGTACTGAAAATCCTAAACAGGGTAATCAAGAAAGAGAAAAAAATAAAGGGTATAAAATTGTAAAGAAGGAAGCCAAACAATCACTATTTGCAGATGGTGTGATCTGGTATAATCTTATATGTAGAAAATAGCCCCAAACTTTTAAAGATAATACACAAATTCAGCAAAGTTTCAGAATACAACATTCAAACTCAGTAGGGTTGTTATATACTACTAATAAAATATCTGAAAAATATATCAAGAAAAAAATTATAATAGGTATAAAACAAAATTTATGCAAAGCCATGAGAAATTTCTTCAATGAAAACTGTAAGTACACCTGAAATAAATTTAAGAGGGGACACAAACACACACAAATGGGAAGTCATCCCATATTCATGGATTGCAAACACCAGTATTATTTAAATGTTCACACTGCCCAAAATAAACTGTAGATTCAACACAGTCTTTATCAAAATACTAAAAACATTTGATGAATGAAAAAGAAAATCCTAAAATTAAATAACCTCACAAAAAAATCTAAATAACCAAAGCCATCATGACCTAAAGGAACAAAGCATAAAGCTGTAGCAATCAAAAGAACAAGTTATATCACCAGCTGTGATGGTTCATGCCTTTAATCTCATCACTCTGGAGGCAGAGGCAAGCAGATCTCTGTGAGTTCAAAGCCAGCCTGATCTACATAGAGAGTTCTAGGACAAGACAGGGCAACATAGAGACACCCTGGGAGCAGGAGGGATTAATGAATATATGATATTGGCATAAAAAGAGGCACATAGATGAGTGGAAGAGAATAGAGAACCTAGGAGTAAACCTATGAATTTACAGAGAACTAATCTTTAACAAAGGTGCTAAGAAGATACATTGGCAAAGGACACATTTCAATAAGAAGGCCTGGGAAAATGGATAGCTGCATGCAAAAGGTTTAAGCCAAATGCACATATTTTTATAATATAATCATACTTTTTACATTGTGTTCATTCTTAAGTAAAGTTCATTATTGGCTTGTCAATATTAAAAAGAAAGAAAAGACTTAAACTAAACCCCCCACTATTTACAAAAATCAACGCAAAAGGGATTAAAGGTTGAAATACAAGACCTAAAACTGTGAACCACTTGAAATAAAAATAGGGGTAGATGTTTCCAGCCATTGGAATGAGCAAAGATCTATTTCGTTAAGACACCCCCAAAGCATAAGAAGTGAAAAGAGGAAAAAAAAGACAAATGGATGGATGTCAAACTAAGAAGCTGCAGCTGAGATAAGGCAATCTCTAGAATGGGAGAAAATACTTGCAAACTACATCTGACGGTAATAACATTCAGAATATTTAAGGAATTCAAATAAATATAATGAAGATATAAGTAAAAATAAAAACAAAATACCTAATGATCCAGTTAAAATGGGCAATATAATTAGTTCATAAAGGGAAGCAAACGAAGGATCAATAGATGTGTGTAAAATATACATCACTTGAAAGAATCTTGAAGGAAGTGCAAATCAAAACCACAGTGTTATCTCATCCCATTGGGAACTGAGATTATCATCAGAGACAAGATAACAGGCAGAAGTTGGAAGCAGCATTGCAGCTGGGATGGAAAAAGATTCTGGCAATCAGGAGCCAAGAAATACCACAAGACACAGTAAGCACAGCAGCTTACAGCCCTGCTCCAGGGAAAGGTTTCCTCAAAGTAACAGCTCTGCTTGGGCAGGGGAGGGGTTCCTCCCCCTCCCACCCCCCCACACCCCCCCTACCCCCGGGGCGAAGTTGTTACAGTTCTGCTCCCATTTTCCGGAGTGTAACAACTCCGCCTTCACTGGGGGAAGGGGTTTCCTCAGTGAAAGTGTTACAGCTCTGCTCCATCTCTGCTGGGGGGTGGGGGTGGGGGTGTCACCCAAACCTCTTGAGGCGATTTATTGCGAGGGAAGAATCCAGGAGGGTGGCTGCCTCTGCCAGGGAAAAAGGCAGCAGCAGACTGAGCAGGCTCAGGGATTACATAGGGCTTCTTAGGGGCAGAGTTTTTCCAGTAGAAGATTTTCAGTGTGGGGATTGGTCAGATTTCAGTTCTTGAGCTCATATTGGCTAGATCTCGGGTGTTCAGGGATTGGCTGGTTTTCTGCTCAGGGATTGGTTCGTTTTCCTGCTAAGGGATTGGTTGGTTTTCTGCTTAGTTGGTCAGGGGCAGATTTGCCTCTGGTTTCAGGGTCAATGTGGGCTTCTTTCACTAGCTCTGGTTTCAGGGTCAGGGTGGGTTTCTTTCAACCAGCTCTGGTTTCAGGGCCAGGGTGGGTTTTCTTTGGCTGGCCCTTTTACCCTACCGTGGTGAGGATGTGGAGAAAAGGGACCCCTCGCCCACTGCTAGTGTGAACACCAATCTGTGTGCATCCACAACGGAAGTGAGCGTGGAACTTGTGGGGGGAAAAGAAACAGAACTGTCACATGATCCAGCAATGCCACTACTGGGAATGTGTCACAAAAGCAGGAGGGTCCGGACTAGATAGGAAAGCTGGCTGAACAGGAGCCTGGCAGGAAGCTTTCCTCCATGTTCCTGACTTGCTTCGAGGATGGGGCTGGACTGGGATGTGTGACCCAAATCATCTTCTCCTCCAGTTGTTTCTCAAACTCCTCCTCGGGTCTCTCCGGGACCTTCTTCCAGAGACGCTCTTGGAACCTTGGAGAGAAGTTCTTGGAACCCTTTAGCGAGGGTGGGTCCTGGCAGAAGGGGTCTCCTGGCGCCTCAGTCTCCCGCCTTCGGGAGCCGCACGTGCTCCATCCTGAGGGTCAGCACGGTCCCCCGAGCCCCTGGGGCCAGCTGTCTGCAGCTGCGCAGGCGCAGTCTTCCTAGGAGCCCGCCAGCTACTCAGTCCGCGGGCCGATCACTAGTTTACGATGGCTGCGCAGGCGCACTCGGTGCTTCTGGCATCCGCTCAGCCCCGCCTAGGAGCCTGCGGGTTCTCCTCTGCCAGAGCCTAGCGCCCTCTAGCGGACGGCCATTGCGCAGGCGCAGTCGGTGTCCACCAGGTCGCTTAGTCTAGCCGCTGGCGTCCTACGGCTCTTGAGAGGACGCCACCGCGCAGGCGCAGTCGGTGGGGGTCTTGCAGCTGCTCAGCCCCGCCCACGGAGCCCGGAAGCGCTGGTTTGCAGACCCTCGCCGCGCAGGCGCAGTGGGGTGCCGGCGACTTCGGCACCGGGGGTGTCTAGCAGGTGGGTTGGGAGGTACGTTTGTATTCCTCCGGTGCTGACGGGCCGCGGCGGCGGACCCGGGACTCTGGCGGCAGCACGGAGGCTCAGGCTGTGTCCGAGGGCTCGGGGCCCGGCGCCGCTTGTCCCGGGACGGCCCCTCCGGTGACAGTGCTAGTGATGCGGCAGGACGAGGCCGCAGCGGACCGCGCGCTAAGGCCGGGTCCGGCGGGGAGCGAGGCGGCGGCGGCGGCGGACCCCGAGGACGAGGCGGGGGATGACGACGCCGACCTGCTGGACACGTCGGACCCCGCGGGCGGCGGCGAGAGTGCGGCCAGCCCCGAGGAGCTGGAGGACGAGGGTGCCGAGGGCGGCGGCGCGGCGCGCAGGCGGGGCGCCAAGACCTGCACCTACGAGGGCTGCCGCGAGACCACCAGCCAGGTGGCCAAGCAGCGCAAGCCCTGGATGTGCAAGAAGCACCGCAACAAGATGTACAAGGACAAGTACAAGAAGAAGAAGAGCGACCAGGCCCAGGGCTCCGGAGGCGCCTCGGCGGCCAGCGCAGGCAACGTCAAGCTGGAGGTAGGCGCCTCGGGCCCCGGGCCAGGGCAGGTGGGTGCAGCCCCATTCTACACAAATGCGGGGGCTCCCCAACCTGCTCCCAACGCGGGGTGGGCTCATCTTCCACTGTGGTGGTAAGTGAGCAGACAGCGAGAACCTCCGCTGAGATTGGTACTTTGGAGGCGCCTGCCCCACTTGTCAGTCACCCCTTCCTAGGCTCTCCCCTGTGGCATCCTGCATGTTTACGTAGTCCGTTCTTGGTTGTCTGTAACTTTAGTGCCCGTCCTTTGCCTAGCCACCACGCCCCCCCCCAAAAAAAAGTTGGATTGTTAGTGGAGTGGTGAGTCACAGAGCACTTTGGGGTTGCTTGATCAGAATCTCATGGGAAGGTAAAAGCAAGTGTGCCCTACAAATGAGATTCTGTAGTTACCTCGCTCAAGTCACCTCGTTTAAGTTTTGGCTCCTTCATCTGTTGGCCTTAAAACAATGCCCAATCAGTGTTTCTTCAGATTTATTTTAGTTAGGTGAAAATTATAATTGGAGTGCATTTCAGCTCAAACTCAGCAAAATCCACCTCAATGTTTGAGCTGTTGAAAACAAAAAAAAAGAATCCACAAAAAGTAGGAAGACTCCTTACCATAAAAATTCCTTTTGAAAGGTGAATCCTAACATTTGTGGAAGTTTGGCCTAGATGACTCAAAATTACTTCTACTACAGGAATCTTTGATTTTGTGGTATTAACATCCTAAACCCACAAAATGCAGAGTCTGGGGTCAAGTCAGTTATAGTATTCCATGTTCCATGTACTGTGCACATGAACCAAACAGTCCTATAAATAAGAGTCACTCTGGGGAGAGTTAGAAGAAGAAATTATCTTTGCTTTCTGTAATATTAGAATCCTCTTCTATAGCTTTTAATGCTTGGACACCTAAAGCATGTATGTGTGGAAGATTTTTATAACTGAAGTTTGCTAAGTATCTCATAATGAAGAGGGAAGGGATATTTTAATAGACAACTCAGGAGTCAGTGGACCAAGGCAAAAACCAAAAAAAAAAAAAAAGAAAGATAATATCCAAAATAAAGATAACACTACTAAATTCATGTGATGCCTGGCCTCATGTAAAGCATTTTTGTTTAAGTACAGCAAGTTCTTTGCATGTGCAAGGCCCTAGATTCAACCATTAGTCATTCTCCCAGTTTTCATTGTCATATTGTGGTTTTATAGACAGCAGAACATTTCACTTAACTTCAGAAACATCCTTTTATGTGAGGAAAAGCTGAATATTTAGATCCTTTCATATTTGGGAATAAGCACTGCTAATCTTTTATGGGATTTGATGTCTCAGGGTAAGGTTGCTGTTGCAGAACTTGCCTGCTAGCTCTGCACTGGTGATTTCATACCTGTGATTTCTAGCCCCTTCCAGCCATTCTGCTCAGAAAGCTGCATTGTTTGCTTCTATACGCAGTATTTTACTGCCTCTCCCTTCGTGGGGGTATGAATCAGGTGTGAATCCAGTATCTCATTAGTGATAGATTGCCTCCAAATTCATTTATTTTGTCCAAAAGCAGGCAGACTATTTTTTGTCTTTTTTTTAATTAATTTTTTTTATTCATTTTACATACCAGTCAAAGATCCCCCTCTTTCCTCCTGCCACCCCTCCAGCCTCCCCCTCCCAGTCCACCCCCACATTCCCTCCTATAGGAAGGCAAGGCCTCCCATGGGGAGGTGCATTTAGTAGAGGCAGGTCCAAGCCCCTCCCCCTGCCTCAAGGCTGTTCGAGGTGTCCCATCATAGGTAGTGGGCTCCAAAAAGCCTGCTCATGCACCAGGATGGATTCTGATCCTACTGTCAGGGGGCCCCTTAAGCAGCTCAAGCTACACAACTATCTCGCTATGCAGAGGGCCTAGTCCTTGCAGGCTCCACAACTGTTGATCTAAAGTTCATGAGTTCCCACTAGTTTGGTTTGGTTGTCTCTGTAGGTTTCCCCATCATGATCTTGGTGCAGGCAGACTGTTTTGACTTAGATTGTTCTGTATGAAGAGAATTTGGTTTCACTTCGCATTCTTCTGTAATACTGAAAACAGCTGACAGGTAACTTCCCCTCTGCCCAATATCTTCAATTTAAGACCTTACAGGAGACTAAAGAACCCAGGTTGGAAAGCCTGCAGGGAGGAGTTTTACTTTGAATTAATTGCCAGCACTCTGCCTGTGACTTACCAAGAGGCTTTCCTAAAGTTTCTCAGAAACTGAACAAAAGGAAGAAAATCAAAGACATGTTCATTTTCACTGAAATGCCTGCTGTTGTGGATTACAGTACTATGTTAAATGTTCTTTCATTGATCCCAGGAAAGTACAGACAACATACTCTCCATTGTCAAACAAAGGACGGGATCTTTTGGGGATCGCCCTGCAAGGCCTACTCTTTTAGAACAAGTGTTAAATCAGAAAAGACTGGTAAGTGTTTTTTCGTAAAGTAGCCACTTGTTTGCAGTGGAACTATTTTCCCTTTGGAAGACTTTAAAAGCTGTTCACTGGCCATCAGAACTGAATAGTGCCTCGTCACTGGTCACACTGGAGATGCCCCTACTCCCCCAGGACTGCAACAGAAGGAACACCTTGAGCTCTGTTTCTTCACTGACTAACCTTTGAGCAAGATGAGATTTTAAAACAGACTCTAAATATATGGAATAGTACTGTAATGGTGTTGAGATATAATTACTAATATTTAATAAGAGTCTCTGATATAAAACTGATAGAAAAATGATCAGAAGTCAATCAGGAAAGGAGCGATTGATAAATATTGGAATATTTGTTAATAATTTGAAGGAAAGAAATAATTTAACTCATACTTACTATATATATTTTTGGTAGGCTACTAGAAATTTTTTTTAAAAATTAATTTGGATTTTTATCTCAAGATTTCACAATGAGGTTTTATAATATTGAAGAATCACGAAGAAAAGATTTAAACTTGACAATATAAAAATGTAGACAAAGACAATGCTAAAAATTAAACTACAAAGTGACATAGGAAAAAATAGGAGCAACAGATTATAAAAGACTGGTCAGTGTGTTTGATACTTTGTTATAGCATCCCAACACTTGAAAGACTCAGGCCAGGGTGTTGCCTTGAGTTCACAGCCATTATGGCTATAGTGTGAGACCTGACCTCAAACAAACAAACAAAAATATGATAATTCTATTAATAATCCTTTTCCCTCTTTTCTCTTTAAGTCATTATTAAGAAGTCCAGAAGTTGTCCAGTTTTTACAGAAACAGCAGCAGCTATTAAATCAACAAGTTTTGGAGCAAAGACAGCAGCAGTTTCCAGGAGCACCAGTGTGAGGGGCTCAGGAACTCTGTGTGTGATTTATCTTACCGTAATGGATGAACGGACTTTTATACTAAAGGTGATACCCTGATAGTCAGGCATTGGTGGAATCCCTGCACTTGGGAGACAGAGCCAACCTCCTGAGTTTAAGCCAGCCTGGGCTACACAGCAAGCTCCTTTCTCAAAAAACAAAAAAAAGCAGCAGAGAAAAGCTGTTGGAAAAAACATCTTCCTGTAAATGTGCGTGTGCATTTGGGGTAAATAAGTATTGCATTTTTGCATCTAATCCTTTCAGATCACTATGAGTTTGAAAAAAAAATCACCTTTATAGTTTTTAATGTTTTTCTTCAGTTGTACCAACTGAAGCTCGTGAGGCAGTTACTTTCTGTGGAAGTCATTGTTAATAGTAATCTCAGTTCATCTAGCACCATGACTCATCAGAGGCATGGAAAGGAGCGGTGTTTCGGGTTGTCCTAGAGACATTAAACATAGCTAGGCTGGAGTGAGGGGCCAGGAATACCGAATGTTCTTCAGTGTCTGTGATATTCCACAGCTAAATGTTACCTCGCCATTGATGCGCCTCAGCTGCTGTGAGAGCCTGAGGGCAGAGCACCAAGGCCAGGTTCTTGTAATAACCTTTCTTTAGGGCTAAGACTGGAGCTGTGAGAGCTAAGTATGTTTATACCTGCGGAGGAAGCAGTCGCTGATCTCATATAAACTAGAGAAGAACCCATTAAAGTGGGCACCTCCACTGCAGATCATCTCTACTGAATTTGTGAACAGTTTAGATATACTTAGCCCACCAAGGCCCGGGCAGGATTGTTTTTCTTATATTCATTCTTAATGTTCTTCATAAAGGAGATTCTGAAAATGGAGGAACACTCCACATTTTGTCAGTGGTTTTCAAAACTGAACTACTCTAACACTTATTCCTAACAACTGTTAAAGGAGTCATGGATTATCTGGGTGTTGGTTTTTTGTTGTTGTTGGTTTTTTTTTTTTTTTTTAACTTTCTCCTAAGAAAACTTTAAAAAGGCAAAAATACGTAAGATAAAGAATGAAATGTCAAGAGTATATCCAGGAGGAGGTTAATAAATGTGTCTCAAGATGAACTCTGCTGAAATGTGTTAGTTGCTTGATTCCTAAGTCCTGAAATGTATATGATGTTAAACTTAAAGCTATTCCAATAAGTACTCAAAGGGCTGGGGATGCAGCTTAGCCTTCGAGCACTTGCCTAGCATGTGCAAGGCCCTTGGTTCAATCCCCCGCATCACCACAACAACAAAAAAACATGGGGAAAAGGATGTTTTTCTTCATTCTGTGTTGTGTACTTGTATATCTGAAAAAGACCCTTTTGTCAAAATTATTCATTAAAGTCGAGTTGTTGACCTTTGATTTGTCTGTTGTACTTATTTCTTTAGTTGCTTCACACTGCCTATAGAGGAACTCATTTACTATTTGGTACCGTGCTTACAGTATTGAGAGCTTTATTGTTTCTCTAGACTTGCAGGTCTGTCCATTCTGCAGCCCATGGACCACACACACATCCCAGGAGAGCTATGAATCTGCCCAACACAGTTGTAGTGACAGTGTCATGTTGCCATATCAAAGGGTTGCGTATCCCTGTCAGAACTTGTTAACTTTTGTAGCAAAATAACCCAGCTTATACTTCTTCAATTCTAGAGTAAGTAGGAAAATGTGACATTAATAGAGATAAACGAAGGGATTAGATTCATGTTTTAAGAACTTGGAGATGGTTTAAATACTTGTCATCAAGGGCTCAGAGTCTTTCTCTAGGGAATTAAAAGTAGACTCTCATTCATGAATTTAGATAGGAATTAGGATAGTTTCCAATACAACTTAATTATTACCTGTCATATTGGAAATTTTTATCCAATGTGAGGATAAAGTAAGTTATCCTCAGTAAGGTTTTTGCTTTAGAGTAGATGTATTGCAGCTCATCCACAATCCTGCATTCTATACACCCATGAGTTTTGACATGTGACTATAGCTTCTTCCACCAACAGGTTTTTATTTACCTATTCCTTAATTCAGGATTAACTGGCATGAGACTTGTTTTGGCCAGTATAGAGCAGAAGAAATAATGACATGCTAGCCTCTAGACAACTTCTGAAGGTTTTGAATATTTGCATTTATATTTTTAGACTCCTACCCAGTTCCATGATAACAAGCCCTAGACTGCACAATAAATCTGAGATAAATCAAAGGTCTGATCTCTGTTGTACCATCTGATAGCCTGACATATGTCAGTGAGACAGACATAAGCTCTATCTCTATCCAGCCTAGGCCAGCTAAGCCTTGCTTAGATGTATGAAACCACCCTGTGGATCTGTCAATGGTAAGCAGTTACTGAAGGCTTAGGATTGAAGGCCAAAGCGTTCAGGGTGGTCTAGTCAATATTTATGTTAATGAGTAACTGGTACACTTAGTTGTTATTTTTCACTGGATGACAAATTTTAAAATTAGTGAACTCCAACAGTGAAGACTACATAGTAAGCTCTTACCCCGCAAGAAGTAGATGTGATGATGGATGGGAGCAGGATGCCGGAGGCCTCAAGAAAAGGGAAATGTACCCAGTCCCCATGATCTAGAAAAAGAAAATGTGTTTTCCTCTAGTGCTTCCAGAATCAGCCCTGCCAGCACCTTGACATTGGCACAGAGAGACTGATTTCAGACTTGTGGCTTTCAGAACTCTGAAATCATACTGTCTTGTGGTACTTTTTTTTTTTAACAGCAACAAGGAGGGAGGGCTCAACATATCAGGTGCAACCTGCCTAGAAATGCTTGGTGGTTCTCTGAGAGAACATTAGCTTGTATACCAAACCACTAAACCACGAGCAAAAATACTTTTAACTGTAAAAGTGTGGATTACTCAGTCTAAAAGGCATTCCCCAGTATTCTAAAACAGACAGTACTGAGTGTACACTGTGTAGCCTCTGCCCCTTACCAAGGCTTTCTGAACCCCAACCAGCTCGCAGTTGTAAAGCTTAGAATCAGTGGGACAACTTGGGCTAGGGGAAACAAGCATCTTGCAAGCTCTTCATAGTCAGTTGCAATGTCACAAGCTTCTCTTTGAAAGCATTTTAATTAATTAGGTATATTTCATGGCATATGAAAAATACATGATTTTTAGTGAAAGTTTTCCTTATATATCCAGATGTTTTAAGCATCACCTGTTAATGCTCTTAATATATACGTGTTCCTTGCCTAACATGCATGGTGCTGGGTTGCTCAGGTAGGATGCTCAACTGATGATGTGGGTTAAATTCATTTTTTACTTCGAATACTTCACCATACAAAGGGTTTATTTAGTTGTGGCCTGGCAGTAAGCTGGGGAGAAGTTGTCAACCACCTCTAAAATTTCTGCAAAGTATCCTTAAAAATAATGCTGATTTTTCCAAGATGTTAAAAAGTGCCACCAATGTGGCACTTTTTTTACAGCATGAAGAATTCTTAAAAATCCTATTTTTCAAGTAGGACAGCTTATGATTAAGCATCTTAAGGAGACATAGATTACACCCGTAGAATTGTTACCTAAAGCTTGAAAGAAAAATGAGCCCAAAGGTGTCTCTACAGCATTTTCTATCATAAACCACCAGATGATGGTGTATGGCATTTCAGGACACAAAGCTAGGCTGCTGGATCAAAGGCGTCTCTTGGTGGTCTGTTTAATATTCATTTGAACTTATCTTTAACATATGTGAGGGTTACCTACCCTTGTATAGTTCAGCTGTTGAATCCTAGTAGGTAAGACAATGTGGAATGCATGGTATATTTTGCTTTATTAAATATACACGGAATATCTGGAACACATTCAGAGTTAAGCAGGAGCTTGACATCCAGCAGCCAATGTTTACAAAATGCTTTTGCTATTGTTCTTTCTGTTGTCATTATGGGGGATAATGAAAAGAGGATTCTAAATGCTAGGGAGCTTGCCACTTTCGCTGACTATACAACAGAACACTCAAATGTGTATGCTAAAAGGTGGGGGCTTCTTAGTTCTGAAGCAGCTGTTAACATTAGCAACTAGCTGAAACAAACTAACATGTCTTATTTTCCTTAAGACTCCCTCAAATACCAACTTGAACATGGTGATAAACATCCAGCACCATGTGGGCAGGCCAAACCGGTGCAGTTCTCTATCACATGACCCTGCCTGGGGCAACCAGAGCCACGCTTGCAGTATGTAAAGACTTGGCCTGCCCACTTTCCTCTTCATCCTGTGAAACAACACTACACAGCATATTTTTGCTTGTCTGTTTCATGGAATGCATGCCAAATGGTCAAAGGAGTCTAAAGTCAAGTATTACATTATGATTCTTTTAGACCTTTTAGCAGCCAAAGGAAAAAACTGATTAAAATGAAACTGTGTTACAGGAGCAGAGGGCTAACATCTCTTTAATGCTAAATTCTCTGATACATATGAACCTATGTCAGGATTCCTTTCTCAGAGAAATCAGGCACACTTTGATATTTTGTCTGCTTTCTTAATGTTGCAAGGAAATCCAAGTAGCTTATTTTGTTTTTTAGTTTTGTTTCTAAGCTTCTACTTTGGTCTTGAAACAGAGTCTCTCTGTGTAGCCTTGACTGTTCGGGAACTCACTCTGTAGACCAGGCTGGCCTTAACTTCACAGAGATCCACCTGCCTCTGCCTCCTCAGTGCTGAGATTAAAGGTGGGCACCACCACATCTGGAAGCTTCTACCTCTGAACAATTCGATAAAGTTACATATTGCCAGAGGATGTTTGACCCTTTGTGAAGAGATCAAAAGGACTGTTAGAAATCTGGGACAAATCTGGATACTTTGTGTCCTTGAATGGGTACTCAGAGGAGATCTGCCGTTCGAATGATTTTTCCAAGGAAGAAGCTGGGAGAATTACCAGAGATATGGGGATGCAAGGAGGTGGGATGGCTAGGAATAAAGGTGGCACTTGCACAAAGATAAATTACCTAATTGTTCCGAAGAGACATAAAATTTCAATATAGTAAAAATTGAGAACTTGGTTACATTTTTTTTCAAGCGAAAGAAAATTCACATGTGTGGGTTTTAGAAGTTCTGAGACCTAGTGTCTGCAATGACTTACTGTTAGATTCGCAGCTCCATGGAGGTGGGGACTACCTCTAATGTACATTTGATTCCGCAGCACCTGACAATGTCCCTAGTACACACAAATCTGCAGGACAGGCTTAATGAGTCAACAAGCTTGGGCTTTTCTACACTCTTAAGTGGGCTCCCAGGCTTTAGTGCGAGACATAAACGAGTATCTTTTGATATGTGTATCATGTATATTCATGATAGATACATGATAGGTTTTATAGCTACAGTAGGCATTGTGAGTGTGACTTGTCACATCATATCTATCTTAAATACAATTGAATGGGGAACAACAAATGCATGTGTCTTGATGCTAGGTAGATTGGATTAAACGAAGGAAACTCGGCTTATGGGAGCTCCATCCTTTACAAGCACAAATGCCATCTTAAAGAATGTGCTTCCCAAAGGGCATGAAGTAAACTTATAAGCAATGTGGTGATCATTGAGAGGCACGTACCATGGAATCTGGAGGAAATTTCCCTTTATCATCCAAAGAAGGAAATGACAGGCTCTAATAACACATGCACACTAACATATGCATGTATATACATAAGATATTTCTAAAGATGATTATTATTCACTACCACTGTTTCCTCAAAAATGTAGGGCACATGAAACTTTCACACTTCACTTGGGAAGTTATGTCCAAGTATTTCATAGCTTTAGAAGAGGCTGCCAGATGTAACCAGCTAATAACTTAATCAACACAGGTACCAGGCTAAGTAATACATAAATATGATCCAAAGATGCCTCTAGATTGCCCCCAGGGCTTTGCTGTTGTTTTAATCATTATAACTAATTGATATTTGTCACCAAGAGGAAAGATGTGGTGAAGGGGTGCCCTGCCTTGGAGGCTTCCATATGAGCATGTTGGAAAGTGCAGGTTGCCACATGATGCTCCTCCCAACCTTTAGTAGACAGGTTCGTCTCTGCAAAGGGCTTGCACACAGTGTACACAGGCAGACACAGCCAACCACAAGGTCACCTGACAGGGCGAACTGGAAGGCTGGAACCTGACTTCCAGAGTGGGAGGGGGAGCCCCCTGTGCTCCTGGGACTGAATTCTGGACTAGTCCTGTCACTTAGGACTGTAGCTCATCTCGGGCTGCGTCTCCTTCTTCGCCTCTTTGACTGTTAAGCAGTGGCAACATGACTCTAAGCTTCCCAGTTTCTCCCTTTCCAATCACAGTTTCAATCTGCTCAAATGTACCGTTGACGTCAGCACAGTGCCCAGCTGTGCAAATTCCGACTTCAGGGATGACGTTTCTGAGGTTTACC